AGTACAGACCAAATACCCCATATTCATGGGAGGCCAGGCCAGAGTATGGGGACTGGCTATCCCTCTCTTTAGTTTCCCCTCAGGAACCTAATTCACAAGCATGGCCTTTAGGCAACTGGGCAAAGAACGGGTCATAGCAGATGGCTGTGGCTTTTATCATGAGATTAAATGACCTCAGAGCTTCCATAATGTTTTTTCACAGAGCATCAGAATTCTGTTAGTGCTGGATAAATAGAAAAGAGGAATTTCCCCATCAGAAGCTCTTGCTCTGGTACCTTTGGTGTGCCGACAAGAGTGGAGGGGGTGGCTGTGCCCATTGTGTTCTTTGAAGGGTCTTTTTTTAATGACTCTAGTATGTCTTTTATCCTGTGCACCATTCTAGATGATAAAAATTAATATTCACTGAGCCAAAGAAGCTTTGATTTCTGTAGGAATGATTAGCACGACGGTGATACTTGTGCAATATGAAGAATGAATCAGCTACTGTTTCATCAGAGGGCTTCCCTCACCTCCCAAGCAGCCTGATTTCGCAGCTTAATCATGACAAATAAACTTCTGTGTGCTGCAGTGCTATTCCTGGTACCCCTTAGGAAAGGAGGAAATAGATAAAGAGACCATTAGCATCCAATCAACACAGCAGCCTCCACTCCAGCAGCCCGCTCTGCCTAATGCCCCTAGGAACACAGATGTCTCCACCTCACATAAGGAAAGAGGCCACAGGGGTAGGGAGGAGATCTCATTTCAGTCAAGCCACCTGCACCCTTCCATCTCTGTCCTGTAGGGCCAAGGTGTGCTGGGACCTGTCAGCCCAGACAGCAATGGGCAGTCCCGGCTCCCTGTAGGAGACAGTGAGGCCAGGGTGTGGGCAGCAGATGCTGAGGAGTGTCCAGCAGCCAAGTGCTAGATGGTGGTCCACCTCCCTTGGAGGAGGTATCACCTTCTGGGAGGGTAAACACTGAGTTCTAAATCATGGCTGTTGTGAAGGTCCCGCTTCCTCCATGGCTGGCCTGGAAACCTACCTTCCTTGGTCTGCCCTGATTGCTTTAGTTAGACCATTAGTTCTTCTCCACCCCCTTTCAGAGAAGTTGTGATGTTGTCCTTTCCTTTATTATTTAATTTTGCAGGAGGGCACATGCACTCCCAGGAGAAAGGAAAATGAGAAAGAACAAGTGAGAAAGTTTCCCCTTCTGGGGAATGGCCATACCACAATCACTTTTCCATCTGTCCCTCCTTTTAGGATTTTGCGCACACGCATGCATGCACACACACACATGCACACACACACACACATATACACACATGCTCAGCATGTTTTTCAAGCTACTGGATCCAGGACTTGAAACTCACAGTCAGCCATGTGAGATCCATCTGCCTTAACCACCACACCATGAGCTGGCTTGACATTGCCCTTTTCTGTAACATCTGTTTGCATATGACTCAACTGTGTCCGAGGCATTTCTGTTTATATGCTTGTATCGATTAACTCTTGCTATGTAATGAAGAACCCTCAAACTGGCGTTGGGGTACCACCACAACCAGTTATTTAGCTCATGATTCTGTAGTTTAGCATTGGGGCTGGGCACAGTTATGCAGTTCTTTTGCTGATCTCATTGGGCTCCTTCATGCATCTGTAGTCATCTACCAACTCACTTGGGGGCTGGGTGGTCTAGAGGGACATTAATGGCTCTTATCCTTCAGCGGGCTGGCACAGACTTCTTCACCTGGCAGTGGGTTCCAAGAGCCTCAGAGAGAGGGCAAGCCTCGAAAGCACAAGCACTCTTCAAGCCTTTGCTTGCATCACAACTGATAATATGCCATTGGCCAAAGCAGGTCACATGACCAAGCCCAGAGTCAGTGTGGTAGGGCACTTTTGTAAGATGCTAGAGGTGGAGGGAGGGAGGCTCTTCTGGTCATTTTTGTAATCTACCACTATGGTGTTGCTTAATTTGGACCACAGCCTACTGAAATATGTCATGCACACCTGATTGGGTTGTCAGAAAAGTCATGATGCATTTTTGCATAGAAAAATATGTCATGACTTTTCCAATGATCTAATCATTTTATGGAGCCATGGACATTCCCTATTTTATGGAGTATGACACAAGACCCAGAAAGGTGAAGCCATATTGCCTGGGGTCACACAGCAAGCTGGCAAAAGAACTGGTCAACAGAACCACCTGTTCAGTGCCAGTCCAGTGCCCTATCCCACCTTTCTTGGTCCTCCCCACCTCCAACCACGGCCATGCTGGGCCAGGAAGAGAGTAAGGTACCACCCGGGAGTCAAATCCTCACTAAAAGACATCTTTCAACAGAGATACAACAGTCCCTGGCCTCTGTCTTCCCCAGGCATCAGCCTGGAGGGGTTACCGCTGCAGCCTTCCTACCTCTGTTGCATCTGCCCTGGCCCGGCACAGAGTACCAGACTGGCTGTTTCAATCTGAGGTCTTTTGAAAATCTTGTTCAATGTTCAAACATTTGAATTTGAGAGGGTGAGACTGTAATCATGGCAATGACTAGCTAGCAGTACCTGAGGCACATTTAAGTTTCTGCTTGCATCTCCTATGCCTGAGGCCAGAGTTACCTTGCCTGGCTCACCAGCCCATTGGCATTTTCTCCTGCTGCTGCATACCTTAGGGTCTGAGGTTCTATGCACATCCACACTTACACACTTTGTGTGGTTGTGTCTGTCTCACTGCTTCTGAGTGTCAGGGTTTGCAGAAGCATGAAGATTTGAGCCAGGAGGGGGACCAGCAGTTAATGTAATGACTATGTCCCTGGACTCCCATGTAGTCGACTGCGGTTCGCATCCTGGATCTGGTGGTTTAAAACTCAACGCCAGGCACGTGTGCGTGTGTGCCCAAGATCCCGAGAGGAGAACGGAGGAGAAGGGATTGTGGCGTGGCCATCCCCCCCCGGTGTGATTTCTCGCTTTCTGTCTCTCTCTCTCTCTCTCTGTCTGTCTGGCAAGCGCACACACCTTATAGCAAAAACCTCTCTAAAAAAAAAGAAAAAGATTTGAGCCAGGAGATCCGGGAGGCCCGGGGGGCCCATCTGGCCACTTGGCCCTTGCATGCTCATGAGGCAGCACTGCACTTCTGTCGACCTGATCCCCGGTTCCCATACACCTGGTGCTGGCCTTCCGTCAACACATCCATCATTGCCTCTACCCCAGTTGTTCCCAGTGACTCGTGACAGTGAGCAGCAGCAAAGCAGGGCCCAAGTCTTTGGAGTGGCCACCTCACTGCAATTCTTCCTGTGGCCAGACGGCCAGAGGCCAAGTGTCAACCAGAGCCAAGCTGCAGGAGCGCCAGTGGTGATGACAGACTGAAAAATTAGGATCTGAAGAGGAAGGTTAGCACATTTGGATTCGCCCCGTCCTTGTGCTGCTCAGCAGGGATGCAGAACCGTGGGGAAAGATTAACCATGGACCAGACACGTGCTCAGTGGTCAGCCCTGCCCCCTTGTCATTGGGTTGTTTGAACACAACCTGTTTTTCCTGAAATGGATGAATGGAATCCTGGAGTTTCAAGCTGGGTCATTTGTCCAACTTTTACACAGCGAAGATGGGTACCCAGGATGAGAAGTCTGTTAGCAGAGACAGTTATGGCCAGAGCAAGAATGATTAGGGTGCTCGCTTCGGCAGCACATATAGTAAAATTGGAACAATACAGAGAAGATTAGCATGGCCCCTGAGCAAGGATGACATGCAAATTCGTGAAGTGTTCCATATTTTTTGAAAAATTGGATGATGACATGGGCTTTGGTCTTTTTGACTAAATCTATTTTGTAATGTGTTCAATAAAAAGCTGAACTCAAAAAAAAAAAAAAAAAAAAAGAATGATTAGGGAGTGGGGGAAACACCTGGCATAGAGAAGACTAGTTCATAGTGCTTCTACCTGGACAGGGGAGAAAGTCGTGCACTTGCCAGCCTAGCGAGGAAGCACCAAACCACTCCCAGTGACACTGGAAGGAGCCCTGGCAGTCAGCTGAGTGAAGGTGTGGCATCTGCACCATCTGGTGTTGACACAGGGAAGGGCCACCTGCACCCCCTCCCTGGAACTCCAGCCCAGCTGGCAAGATGGAGTGAAGCAAAGAAAGAAACCTCCAGGTGGTGCAAGTGAGAAAGACAGGTCTGGAGTCTGCTACTTTTAATGCACTGGACGGTAAGGGAGCTAGCAGTGACATCCCTCAGGGTTTGGGCAGCACTGAGGAGCATGTGGGGCACTTCCACACTTGCTCCTCCTAGGAGCCTGGAGGTGGCATCATGATTCCCAGGTGAGAAACCGGGTACATGGGTGGACTTTCCCCAGTTACATGGAAGTCCTTGAAAGAGACGAAGACTCTGAGGCAGATGGAGAGCAGGGTGGGGCGAGCCCTGCCCATGTAAGGCAGGGTAACAGCACAGGTGATATGGCCTCATGGACTCAAATTAATGGTCTCATTGGAGAAGCAGGTGGGAGTGACTCAGGCAGAGCTAGGATCATTCCTCTAGGACCCGAGCCCATCCACCTCCACCAACCAATAATTTATGAACTCCCCACAGCAACCAGAAGGGTGGACTGTCAGAGAGGTTGTGGAAAGAACACACATGCCTCAGACAGGGATGCAGGGGAATGCTGATCTGTGCAGTTTAGGGCAGGGGGAGCCGTGCAGAGTCATGGCAGAGGAGGAGAGGCTGGACTTGAAATGCTCAGGACACTTTGCAGTATTCAGGTAGGTAAACATATTGCCTTTATATTAAAATAAGGTAATGATTTGGATTTCAGAATGTAATTATGTATACCCCCCTCAAGCCAGCCCCTAACCACAGTAGACTCTTGAACAGTGACATCTGTTTAAGAAAAAAAAAAAAAAAAAGGCAGCAACAAAATGCTTTATCATCCAATCCAAGTAGCCTCCATGCACCAGCCTCCAACTGAGTGCTGAGGTTAAGAATCTAGACCTTGGGAAATCTCACTTTCCCAGGGCTTCTCTGGTCAGGAGCTGCTAGATTCTCGTGAATCGGGTTAATGGTGCCTGTTCTCTTGTCCCCTGCAGGCACTGGCCCTAGCTATGCCACAGATCCACTCCTGTCCCTGTTCCTGTTAGTTCTGCATAAGTTTCTGCGCCTGCTGGTGGGGCACTGACAGACGTGGCCATCCTGAGCACCTCTGCAGCACACACAACCTGCCCGGACCCTCAGTGAGGAACACGCCACCAGATGGACACAGAGAGACTGAGAGAAGCATGAAAAAGTCCATGTGGAAAATAAATAAATCATATTTTTTGGGGAAGTTACACAAATGTAGAACACCTTAAATAATGCATCTAGTTTCCAAATAAGATGGAGTTTGGGCCATGCAGTATGCATGGAATCAATGATTTCTCTACTTCAATGTATTTTTCTTTTTTACACTTTTCCTCCAAGTCTTCATTTTGCACGAACTGTTGAGCAGTTATCTTTAGGATAATATGAAAAAAAAAAAAAAAAGTTGGGTCAAAGCCTTTCTGACAAAGCGAAATATTTTTAGTAGATTATTGTGTCTAGGATTTTTTTTATTTACTTTTTTCTTTGGGGGCTTTTCTTTTTTTTATTAAATTATTTCTTTTGAGACATTTTGATTAAAAAAGACACATCTTATCATGATTAAAATTCACTGTCAATAATATTTATTTTTAAATAAAGATTGGAAACAAGGTCAGACACTTGTTTATAAACTGTATTGTATATTGCTGAATAACAGTTGAATAAAAAACAACTTTGAAATAAGCTTTCTACAGCCCTGTATGAATGTTAAGCCCTGGTGACCACTGCAACCCTGATATAGTAACTCCTGTTCTCTGACGCCAGCTGCATTCCTGGCCAGATGTCACCCATCATGGGTACAGCACCCAGCACCTGGCTGAAGCATGTGAAGCAGAGAGGAGAACCTGGCCAGGGTCCTCTAAAGACAGGAGAGGGGCCTCCAGCCTGGTCCTAAGGGAAAGAAGGTTGCTAGGAAGAAGCCTGACAGAAATCAAGAACCAGTATTTCCCAATTCGTTGTGCAATGCAGTTGCCCCCTTGGGGATTATACAGGTGTGCATTCCTTGTGGTTGGCTTCGCTGCTAGTTTGAAGAGGAAACTGGAGAAAAGACGGCCTTTCTGCACTCTTTTTCCCGGGGCTTCTCTGGTCAGGAGCTGCTAGATTCTCGTGAATCGGGTTAATGGTGCCACTAGAGATGCTTAAAGCCTCTGAAATTCGTGAGTTTAGAGCAGATTATACATGTCTTAAAGAAACTTACTCGCTCAAGAGGTTATTACTCCTCAGTCCATGACAGGATCCCTTTATATACCTGCAGTTTAAACAAGGATGGTTGTCATTGCTATAGTTTACCGAATGCCTCTATTCCCCACTGGCTGGGCATGTGGTGAGATTATGCGTCTTGGCCTCCTGTGGCAGGTGGGAACATAGCCCTGGCTGAAGAGCTGTGAACGGAAGGGCCAGGGACATGCATCACTTCAAGTCCAGGACATTTGATTGTTCAGGGGAGGCCCTCCAAAGCACTCTTTTCTCTAATACGACAACAGGCAACAGTGAAAACAGCCTGTGTTCTGCCACCCTGGGTCCTTAAGTGACTTCAAGAGCAGAGCCTCCCCTGCTGACCAGCACTGCATATGCCGCTCAATGAGGAATCAGCCTTTTGTCATAAGGCACTGAGCTTTGGGAGTTGTTTGTTATCGCAGTATCACTTGACCTGTCCTGCTTGGTTCCACGCTCAGTGGACTGATTCTGTCCAGCTGACAGGAGTCATGCATTTGGACAACCCCCCATGAACAGAGACCCTCAGCATGGAAGCTATGTAAGAGGATGCCTGTGTAAAGAAAACCTTGGACCTGCCACTTCTGATGGATACATTAAGTTGTTTCACATTTCATTTATATTGATCAGCACCCATCAAGCTGTAAATTTAATCATTTTGTCTGGTGGATAGTGATTCTGTCCAGAAGGATCATCTCTTTTTATAGTTAACTCAATACTGTGGCGGACTAATGTCATGTTAAATACTGGCCCTCTGTGCTTGAAAAGAAAAACACACTTCCCAGACACCAGGTTGAATGGAGACAATGTGTCCTGGGTGACTTGGTGCCAGATCCCTCCAGGGAGGGGGAAGCTGGAGAGCCACTTCCAATCACCAAAACCAGACCCCTCTGTACAAGTGCCGTCAAGTTCCTCCTTGGCAGCACCTGACCCTTGGCATGCTGCACACAGAGAAGGGGTGGCAGGTGTGCTTTGGAAAAACTGCTGTTCTGGGCTGCCCTTGTGCCGCACAAAGGAAGGCCCTGGGACACAGAGGAATAAGACCTTGTCTGCCTCCTGGGGACCAAACACTTCCAGGATGAGGCTGGGCAAGTTCCTCCAAAGTGGAAGCTTAACCCCTCCCCCAACAGAGCTACTGGAATTCCTATGAGGTTGTAGCCAAGAAAGATGCTAAAGCATTTCCCGGATCCTGGACCCCCATGGAGCGCTTGCCAGCATCCCAGCTGGGCTGGTTCGGCTGGTTCAGGGCCCTGGACACAAAGCAAGAAGTCCCATGTACACCTGCAGATCCACAATGCAGCTCGGGGCTCTGGGCTTCTGCTCTCTGGGGTCCCTCGTGCAGAATGAGGACAAAGAATGGGCAGCCTACCTTCAGTTTTATGAAATGCATACAAACCAGGAGGGACAAGTGCCCACCAAAAATGGAAAACATGGCACTGAACTCACTACCCCAACTGCCTTTTGCTTTGGATTTTGGTTTCAGCCCAGGGCAGACATGGGCTGAGGTCCAAGGACAAGATGATTTATGTCCATTTGAGGAGAATGCGCTGTGATTATTCAGGAGCTCTGGTCCCAGCCTGTGAGGTCTGCTTGAAGGCACTCTGGAACCACGGCTCAGAATTGCCACTCATCCCAGCAAGAGGCTGGGGGAAGGATGCACCACCCTGCAGGCAGAGGCTGAGTGGGAGTGGAGAGAAGCTCAGGGAAGGGAGGTGAGGGGTGGCCAGGCATGCTGGGAAGAGAGAGTCCTGCCCCAGGTCCTGCATCCTCGTTGAGAACGGTTACCCCCAGTTGACAGCACCTGTGTGGCTGATGCCCCCCTCCTTCAGGAAGCAGGCAGCAATTGGGGCATGGCCCTGGGAGAAGGACAGGAACTCTCAGAGTTTGCCAGGAGGCCCTGACATTCTGCCTCAGTGCCACATTCCTAGTTGTAGCTCTGACTCAGAGAAAAAGGGCTCTGTCTGACGGATCCGAGACTGCTCTTGTTGGAATACAACACACTGAGCCATTTGTGAGCTGCTGAGTTTGTGGCTAAGGGGCTCCCAGCACTGGCAGCCAGTGGGAGGCTTCTTGTCCGTTTTTGTTCCGCATCTTCCATAAGATTCCATCCCCACATCAGATGACACTAGGTATCCATTTAGCTGGCATTTCAGATAATGCAAGCCCTGCTTTTCCTGGCTACAGGGTGACAAGAGGCTTGGGGCGTTCACCCCCTATGCACACACATGTCCGCATCTCACAGCCTGCTGCCTGAGAGTACTTCTGCCTTCCTTCCAGGGGATGAAGCAGGGAATGGCCCAGTGGGTGAGGAAACCCCCCCCCACCCGCCCACCCATTCATCACACAACAGTGCCACTCCCTCTCAGAGCTTCCTGCCTTTCTCAAGGAGAGCCAGTGCAACCCACCACAGCATAAAGATAATGCCCTTAGCTCACCTCAGGGGCCCTAGAAAGCATGGAAAACCCATGACCCTCACAAGGGACCCACCCCATCTGTGGCTGCTGACACAACATGAGGTAAAGTCTGGAAACACCAGCAGAGGTGATTCCTTGTACATGACAGAGCACCAGATAGATTTTGAGTCAACATGACTTCACACTGTGTATAATCTGTGACCAGCTAGCAAAACCTAATGAAGAGCAGATTTCTTTCCCAGTGCCTATTTGTTGTTGTTGCTGTATAGTTTTTGCTGTAGGGTACACACATTCACCCGAGAAAGGAAAAGTGAGAGATTACTCCCCAGAGGGGTGGTCACACCACAATCCCCTCTCCTCCAAGATTTCAGGCACTTGTGCATATATGCTGGGTGTGATTTTCAAGCCACTAGGTCTGGGACTCAAACCATGCAGTCAGCCATAAGGGATCCAGCACCTTAACCTCAATGCCACCTACTGCCCCCACCTTCTTTTCTTTTTAAAGGGGGAAGTAAGTATACTCTTAGAAGGAAAAATAGATGTTATCTTTTAGATTTTGAAGTCAGGAAGGATTTCTTAAAAGAGACCCAAAAAAGATCACTATAGAAGAAAAGAGAGGGAACCAGCAGTTAGCGTAATGGCTATGTCGCTGGACTCCCACGTAGTCGACTGCAGTTCGCGTCCTGGACCCGGTGGCTTAAAACTCACTCTGGGTGCGTGTGCGTGCGTGCCCAAGATCCCGGGAAGAGAATGGAGGAGAAGGGATTGCGGCGTGACCATCCCCTGGGGGGGGGGTGATTTCTCGCTTTCTGTCTCTATGTCTCTCTCTGTCTGGCGAGCGCACACACCCTATAGCAAAAACGTCTCAAAAAAAAAAAAAAAGAAGAAGAAGAAAAGAGAGAATTTTGACTACATTGTAAGTAAGAGCAGGAGCTTATCAAAAGCCAATATAAAGAAACTAAAAAGAAATTTATAAAGTACAATCAACACAGGATTAGTATCAGGATATGTATATATATAAAAGTTTATATCAATAAGAAAAGCACAGGGACTGGCAGATGGCATCATAGTTAATGGCACTGGACTCTCACATGGCCAACCGTGGTTCAAGTCCCAGACCAGGTGGTATGACAATCATGCTGAGGACATGTGTGTGTGTGCATGCCCAAAACCCTAGGAGAAGAATGGAGAAGAAGGGATTGTGGCATGGCCATCCCTCCAGGGAATGATTTCTCACCTTGCCCTTCATCGTCTGTCTCTCTCTGGCAAGCACATGTGCCCCATGGTAAACACCTAAAATACATAAATAAATAAGAAAAGAGCAAGCAATACAATGGAAAAATAGATGAAAGATACAAAGTACCATATTATGGATAAGGTAATATGGCCATAAATATATAAAAGACAATCAGCCTCAATAATGACAAAAAGAAATGCAAATCAAGGCCACAATGATTATTTCTACTTGATTACCAGATTTTTTTTTTTTAATCTTCTACAGGGAATGTGTGCTCACCAGAGAAGGTAATAAAGCATCCCCCGGGGAGGACAGCCACACTGCATGCCTTCTCCTCCATTCTCCTCTCAGAATTTGGGCATGCACACACAATGCATCTGGAATGCTTTTCCAGTCACCAGATCTGGGACTCAAAGCACACAGTCATCCATCTGGGATCCAGCTGCCTTAACTACCATGTTAAGGCTAGCCCCAATTACCAGAAATTTACTAATCTGTCAATATCAAGTGTTTCAGAGGATGTGGGTCCACAAGATCACTTATGTATGGGTTGTGGGAAAGTGTAATACATTGGTACAACATCATTAGAAAGCACTCTAGTGCTCTAGTTTTGGGGGGTTGT